CTTTCCTTCTGTGTGTGTGTGTGTGTGTGTGCGTGCGTGTGTGTGTGTGTGTGTCTAGCGGCACTGGTCGTGTGGGTCTCGCCCCCTCCTTTCTGAAACGGTTCATTGGACTGTAACGCTAATCCGTGGGGACCCTCTACACTGCGGTGACCCCCTTGACACTCACACACATAGACAAACACACACAGACTCCCTCATCCATCATACACAGAGGTTGTCAGCACCTCAGCGAGTTGGCCTCATGGGTGACAGCCGGCAGCCAATCGGGGCTCTCGCCTCATCTCTGACATCACTGAGGATGCGATGTTTTCATCCTGATAGAAAGTAATTAGTAGTGAGGTAAAGAAAGTAAACAGATAATATGAGGACTTTAGGTGTGGCAGAGCCAGTTATAAATTAAGTAAATTTCATGGTTTTTTTTCTGTCTTTCATCCCACACATAAAACCTCCACAGCATTGAGAAAATTAAGCTTCATAAACATTATACTCCTACCTCCACATATAAGTTTAATGCATGTTTCTTATTATTTCACTCTGTCTCACTGTTGCTGTAGCTGAGAGTGAAGGAGGTAGGATGTGAGAAAAAGGAGGCTGTCGAAGTGGAGGGGGGTCAGTCAAAGTCAGCCTGCTAGACAGCTGGAGTTCATGGCTGCAGGCATCATTATGGTGAAAGAACTCTGCAGTCAGACATTGATATTTGGTTGAATGTAGATTGTGACTTCAGGTGCCAGATACAAACATGGGACATCAGAGTCACCACCTCCGCCACGACGGACATGCTGCTGGTTGGTCACGTGACTTGACGTCAACACTCCCAGGCCTGGATCATTGTAACTGTTCCTTATAAAACCTTGTTTTTCATTTCATATTCAGATTCAAATCATCCTGAGCCAACTGTCCAAGATCCGGCATCTGACAGCCGAGTCTCAAAAGCAGCCAAAACCCTACACTTCCATAAAGCAAGGAAAAAAATGTACTTGCGAATTATTATCATTCAGTTTATTGATTTGAATTAATTTCTTTCAGTTCAGTCAGGCACCCACTACAACCCGTTAGTTTGGTCAGTGTTTTCGGAGCTAAGAGAATGCATCACCATTCAAATACACTGCAGTATGTAGATAAGTAAGTGGCTGTATCACTGTCAATATCGCTGTGACTTGCAGCCCTCAGAAATCATATAGCGTCAGTTAACGTGTATATAATATGCAGCTGAAAACATAGGAGTGCTGCTTGAGGTACAGTGAACAGGCCCACAGACGCCAGAAGCAACTGACAGACACTCAATAGAAATTTTCTATTGGCGGTATGGAAGGTGAAGTGGAACTTATTTTTTTTCTAAAGGCTTACCTTCCCACCTTTGATCACAGTTTCTGTGTATTTACCCCCAAGGCTACTGTAAAACACTCCACAGGCCTAAGTGCACTCGCGTACTGCACAGTGCCAGAGGGTAAGATTGAGCCTCAGATCTGTGTGTGTGTGTGTGTGTGTGTGTCTGGATAGATGTGCATGTGTTTGATTTGTGTGTATATACTGTATTATGTGCAATTTGGGTATATGTATCTAGATATAGCATTGTGTGTTTGTGTGTGTGTGTGTGTGTGTGTGTATTGCTCGTCTGGGCAGTAGCTTGGATAGAAATAAGCGGTGTATATGACTCCCATGTTGCAGCGCTCCACCCCTGCCTCGCTCTGTTGGGAACTTGACCTTCTACACTCTCATCCCCGACTTTAATAAACGAGTGTATGGCTCCCAAGACCTCGCCTCGCCTCCTCATCTCCTCCCCTCCTTCCTTTTTTCGCTTCACCTCTCCTCATCTCGTTCTTATCCACTGGTTTATCTCAGCTCATCCTCTGCGTCACTGTTCATCCCAGCCTCACACCGCAGTAAATTCATACCACTTCTTTGGATGTAGCATGTTTCCCAGTGGCCACCAGTGGCAGACAGGTTGTACTGGAAACCTCTACTGGTGTGGCGATAAAAGAGGAACGCATGCTCAGTCAAGTCTTCGGCCTGGATGAAATAAAGGTGGAAAAACTAGGCAGTAATGGGAGAGAAAAAGAGACGAGACATACGGAGAACATCAAAAAGATCAAGTGTGAGCGAGGGGAAGGAAGAAAAGAGACGAGTGAAAGCGAGGGATTAGAGGAATCCCCCAGGTAAAGAGATTGTTGCGACGCTATCTGATGCAGACTCAGCTCTGACACCTGTCACCACTCCTAATGAAACAGCTCCCACAATCCTCTGCTCCCAAATCTTTTGTTCACTCCCTCCCTCCTTTTGTGTGTGTGTGCGTGTTTGTGTGTGTGCGCTTCCCTCGCTTTTCCCCATACGTCCTTGTGAAATTGTGTCTTTGTATTGTATGTGGGCCCTATGTGGGGGGGATGCCTTTGTGTACGTGTGTGCATATTATTATGCTCCTCAGAGGGATGTGATGTTGTGCTTTTTATCCCGACTGATGCATCGGTAGAGAGAGAGAGTGTGTGTGTTGCTGAAGCAATAGGGACCAAAATGTGCAGAAAAGAGGCACAGATGTGAAGTAGTCTCTCTCTCTGTGTGTGTATGTGTGTGTGTGTGTGTGTGTGTGTGTGTGTGTGTGTGTGTGTGTGTGTGTGTGTGTGTGTGTGTGTGTGTGTGTGTGCGCAGCCGGACAGGATGTCCATTCCACAATTGGAGCAGACGCTTGAGTTTGGTCTTTCCTATATTAACAATGACTGCTACTTTCAGACCAGATACTACCGTGTTACTAGTGCCATCTATCTAGTGACACACACACACACACACACCTATATATACACACACACTTTCCCCTTCCTGTCTGGGCTTTTTTAGTCCTGTTTTCCATTTTATTAGAGGCTAGAAGCAGTTCATTAGCGGTCTGTCGCCATCTGTGAATACTTTAAACTTTAACTGTCAGCCTCACTAATTGACAATCTGCTTCACTCTGCTCGCTGCCATTGATTTAATCTCTTCTCTGTCTCTCTTCCCTCGATTCTTTCCTACGGAACTCATTGACAAAACATGATGATTTTCAGATTTTCTCGGACAGAAGCATTTAAACAACTAATTGTGAAATTAATAATGGCTTTCTGCCTTTATCTTACTGTCTGTATCACAAAGTTTGCATGTGTGTTCGTGTCTCTCTATATGCCATCTCCTTTTTCAACTACAGATATGTTGAAATATAAAAGAAATAAACTTTTTAAATGTTCCACGGGACATATAATTCAACATCTTTGCCATTCCTCCCTGCGTCCTCCCATATGGCATCAACGCGTTCACCTCCGGCTGTGGGAGCGCGCTGTATTACAGCGAGGGGAGTAGAGGTTTTCTCCGGGTGCCATTATGTCCAAACCTCTCGCTCCCCTCCACATCGTCTCCTGCCGTTCCCAGGCCAATCTGCAAGTCATTACTGATGCTCCATTACACAGTACCTCGGCGCAGAGTAAACTCATATAGAGTATGCGGCCGCCGGTGTGGTTTAGCTTCACCTAGTCATTCCTGATTAAACAGAATGCGGTTCCCACTGATTTATCATTGCATATATAAGCGATTGCTACCCTAATAGGAAACCATAGTTTGCTTAATGGAGCTTTAAGTGGAATATGACCTAATTTATAAGTTCTATTTTGGTATTTGAATGGCCTTTATGATTGTTTTACCGCATCTCCAGATGAACATGAAACACACTTTGGTGGATATAACTAGTTCGGCGGTAATTGCTGACTTTATGATATTGGAGAGGCTCTTATCCACTTACGCTGCAGAATGTCTTAAGAAGTCCCAGCCTTTTAGTCAGACTTAATATTAATCAGGATTTCCCACAAATGCTATCCCCAGCATCGTAGAACAATGATCAGGTAAATCGCTCCAGTTATCAGTAAACCGACACTTAAATCAAGCGATTGTTGTGACTGTTTCTATCACGATGTAAAGTCAACACACTGAGACAAAAAATATGCAGTAGAGGTAAATACTGTAGCACCAATCCCCATACACAAATAAGACCTAATTGAATCTCATTTATTGAACCAGTTAAAAAACACGGTTTTGAAATACAAATTAATTCTGTGAGCCTGAGCGGTGATGTAGCACGGATTCCAGCTGACAGCTGCATATTGTCTTTTGATTTACTTTGGGCTTAAAAAAAGCCTTAGAGATTTCAATTATTTTTGCTTCAATTAATATGGTGCAAAGCTTCTATTCAAGCCAATTTTTTTTTTTTTTTTTTTATTGATTGAAGAGCTGCTGAATGGAAGTGCTGACCCCTCAGTCATCTCCCTCTCTAATCCTGAGACTGGAGCTGTTCTACAGTACAGCGCTGTGGAATTAACACTGTCCGTGTTTCTAAGAGACGCTGCCTCTGGCTCTGTTTTTTTTTTTTTTTTTTTTTTTTTTCTTTTTTTTTTTTTTAGGTCTGGCCGCTGAAAGAATTAGAATATCCTCTGGTGTATTCTTTTGGAGGGAAAAACATGCCTAAAATCCATAACGGCCTCATTAATGTGGAGAAGTGGTTGATTCCAAAATGACATGTACCCGTTTTGAAAAGTAACTGCCACATTCAATGTTCAGCGTTTCATAAATAGGACAAGAGTTGATCCTCGAGAGTGTTGATAATTTGTTAGCGGAGGTTATAGGCTGGTTGGCTGAAACATTTTCCATTATTGGAGCAAAGGAGGCTGGAATGCGTCTGGAGCAGCGTTGTACATGGTTGGATGCTCTTGGGAGGGAAAACATAAGGGAGTTCTGCAAGGTCATGATACCAAAATGCATTTGGTTCATTTGTAATTCACCATTAGTACATGTCAACTCGAATAAATCAGCCTGTTAATGTGTCTTGGAGTGCATTGGATCTGGATGTTATTCTGTCATTGGATAAGATATCCGTTTTTCTATGTCCAGAACATTCTGTCCAGCCATACAGGCACCTCACCGAGAGCTCCCTCTTTCTTTTCCAGTCACGTCTCAGTCTCTTTATTCTTATTTTTTTTTCTCATTTCCAGGAGTGTCCTCAGATCCTGCCCTCCACCCAGATCTATATCCCCGCTGGAGTTATGAGGCCCATCACCCTGCTGGCTCAGAACCTGCCCCAGCCTCAGTCCGGACAGAGGAACTACGAGTGTATCTTCCACATCCAGGGCAACACTCACAGCGTCCCGGCTCTGAGGTTCAACAGCAGCAGCATACAGTGTCAGAAGACCACGGTAAGACTGCAACACCTTCACGTCCACACAAGCTTTGCAGTTAAATTGCAGCAGCTTACAGCGGTGACGTCCCCTGCGATGTCTGTTGACCTGATAAATGTGAGTTAGCGTAGTGGATAAGGGGCTTGTTATTGACTGATTACCATCACAGCCAATCCTAATCAACTGTCTCACTTCTCTGACCAGCCCCAGCTGTTTAATCTGTCAGCAGGAGCTCCATTCAGGACGGCCATACTGGTTCAACCATTAGGAGGCTTTACAGCTGGTTAGCTGCAGTGTGAGACAGAGAAAGCAGCAGTTATAAACCCACGTGGTAAAGACTTGAAGCTGAGGCATATGACCACAGGGACCGACCGTCGCAAAGCGGCTCTCTCTTCATGCCCACTCCTCACTCCTGCCTCTCAGCCCTCAGTCAAACTGTCCCAGCTAATAGGGAGCAACCATTTCAGCAATGTTAATTTCCTCAGCTCCGATCGAGGCATGAGACAGAGGGGAGGCATTTTAACGACACCAATTATGACTTACTTAACGAGACATATGATTAACATGCGAGCCGCACACCGCAGCACTCCCGCTCACAGTGATAGGTCCAGTAGCGAGTCCTCGCAGTTTTAAAAGGCAGCGGGAGGCGGAATTTGGCTTTGGCAGCTTCACCAGTCGCCTTTTTCTCCAGCCTGTCACACACTTGTCAAGGGCTCCGGGTCATTTAGCCGGCTGCCGCATTACCACCGGGCTCAGAACACATCACTGATTTGTGGCCACTAGCTGTTTTTGAACTCTACCCAGTCACTAACTTTCTCCCCACAAAGGGAAAGATTGAGCTTCAGCTTTGTGATACTGGGAGTCGTTTCTGCCTCTGATGTCGGATTGGTGACACAAAAAACAGTTACAGGGCACATTACTGAAGTTGATTTCCACATCGTAATGATGGCTCCTACAGCTCCTTTGTGTTTTTGGAAAGCTAATTTGTGCATATTTAGCCGCTTGTCTCTGTAATTGCTTCATGCAAGTGAGTGTTCTGTTAGATTTGACTTTTTGGGTTGTTATTACAGGTTTTTGTCAGATTTGTCCTCGGTGACTTGACTACTTAAAAGCCTCCTGAACAGAGAGTTAGCTGCAAAAATAATAATTGCTGTCAATCAAATTGGATTTTTGAAAAAGTTGGTCAGAATTCGAAAGCACAATTCCTTTTGCAAAATCAATTCTGGCTTTAACTATTGAATTTCTCCATATACCTCAGACGTGGCGAGACCCTTTCCAACAAGTAAATCCTGACTTCCATCATTGACATTATAACACCAGCGCTTCCAAACTATGGTCTGCAGATAAAGAGTGAATTGCTTAAAGACAACAGCTGTATATTATGTTATTTTTGTTCACTCTCTGTTGGATTTTAAGTGTGTTCTGAAAGCCTCCCACGCCTCCAAACACCAGCACTTACTCCGGGAAATAGCAGTTTGCATCCCCAGTGTTTGATACACTCACATTCACTCATTACTACAGCAGTACTATACAGCTGAGAGCTGCTGATGCTGGAGGACAGAGACCTTCCTCAGCAAAGACTCACCGGCAAAACCAAATGGATAAACACACACACACACACACATATGCACAAACATCAATTTCTTCACTCCTCAGTGCACTTTAATGTTTAGTAAAATACCAACGCTCTCAGCAGGAGGCAGGAAAAATAGTAAATATACAGGCCCCAACACAACTTTGCAGCTGTTGATGAAGCTAGACATAAGGGTGTGTGTGTATGTGCGTGTGTGTGTGTGTGTATGTGTGTGTGTGTGTGTGTGTGTGTATGTGTGCGTGTACGCCCACATGTGCACATCCATGTGGTGTTGCGAGTGAGTAAGCCTCCTTCTCTCCGCCCCCCACCTCTCTCCTCGTCAGGTGGGACTGTGATAGGATCCAATTAAGGGAGCTGTAGATAAAATGATGATGAATTGCAGTGGTGTGGTAGACTGACGGACACAAACACACACACACTCACACACACTCACACACACAAGCCTGGTAAACCACTAAAACAGACCAGAGGGAAGCAAAAAGACAAAGAGAGAGAGAGCCAGAGAGGAGGTGAGGGAATTAGTACCAGACAATGACGATGCAACAAAGAGTGCGATAAAGGAAATAGAGAGAGGGAAGAGAGAATGAGAAGAACAGAGATGGACAGAGGGAAGGAAAGACGGACTAAGCCCAGCAAGCAGACTAGGGGAAATAAACAATTGAGGAAGAAACAGATGGGGAGAGAATGTATGTGGAATATAAAAGATGTGCATGTCTGAGAAAGTGATGCTGAAAGAAAACAAAGTCATGATCCGTGCAAAACTGAAACTGCTGACATGAACTAGAACAGCAGAGGGTGGAGGGACAGTTGGGACAATAGGGGAGTGGTTACAAAGTACTGTATACCTGCTCAGGTGGACTGTACAGTGCGGTACTCGAGCAAGTAGAACCTGTTAGGAAAATAGGTTTGGAAAAAAGCAGACGAGGAACCCACAGCTACTGTTGCCTGTGTATGACCTCACAGTCGAATATATAGCTAACATTGACATTATGTTGTAAAATCTTGGCTGCATTTTTTTCTTGCAGTTGCGGGCATTTTCTCAGACAATATGAACACCTATTAGTACGCGTGCATTGGACTGTGTTATCAATCACAGTCAACAAACCACATTCAAATTCCGTCAGCATTCTGCCAATGTATTACTGTGGCGTGTTGATGCAGTTTGAGTGTAGATTGATTTGAGAAGTGTACATTGCATTTCCTCTGTAACTTAAATCAATCAAGCACGTTTCATGTCTGCTGTGTTAATCTCATACCATTCGGAAAAGGGAAACTCCACCAGATTTTCACAGTAAGTGCACGTCAGTCGTTATGAGGAGTAGTACTCTGATGCGGCTCTGATGATGTCAAGACAATCAAGTTGCATTATGGGAAGTGAAGCAGGTTTTGAAAGCACAAAGCTAGGGACTAAAGCTGAGGATATCTTGGATTCTGACTGTTCCTTTTTTTTTTATATGTGCCTCTTGGGAGTCCCTTAAGTTCATGAAAGTCCGATACTAAATCTTTAAAAGTGCACTTTTAAAGCCGCATTAATAATTTTTGTTTGTTTGCTTTTATTAATTCTATAGCTGCGTAGAATGTATTGTGGGTTTTTTCTGAGCTCTGTGCTGAAAACAGTTTCCTGCATCTGGAAAAAAACAAAAATGATGAGAGCAATAAGAATGAACCAAATCAGTCAAACTGAGGGCATCATAACCAAAACCATGAACCGCAACGTTGCGAAACGTTCCAAAGAAGTGAGAGCAAAGAGGGGATAATTCTCTGTGGATCCGTCCGTACAAATGTCCTCTTTCATTTTACACATTAATAATATTATAATATTTCATTCCAGGTGTAAATGTTTTCTTGCCTCCCCTTCACTAATAATTAATTTCTCATATGTAATAATCTGTGTATTTTAGGGAAAAAATATGAGAGTGAAAGAGTTAATACAGAAGCTCAACACATACAGCAGAAGATCCCTCCATGATTGAGAACCTGCACACCAGTAACCATTGTATTCAGTATCCTCAGTAGGCAAGTGTGTGTATATGTATCACAGCTGGCTGTGACTGGGACAGTAGAGTGTAATAAATCACAGAGAAAATTAGCCAGCAGTAGATGTACACTCATCCATTTAATCTTACTGTCTCTTTGTGCATTATTTAGCCCCTCGCCAAACACTGAAACATTGAACTTGCATACTCAAATACACCAGGGACCCAAAGTATGCATGGATGCACAGTGGGATGCTCACAGGAAAACACACGCTGGTATACACACACACACACAGACACACACAGACACACACAGACACACACAGACACACACATACTCACAGGCACGCACAGATAGGGTGCGTGCAAGCTGTGATGATACCTACTGGTTTTCTTCATGGACAAACACACACACACACACACACCCTCCCCAGGGGTTTGGAAGCCCAATGTGAAGCAGACATATGGAGATTCTCCACATGATCCTCTTCCTAATCATGTGGAGCAGACGGAGACTGTAGCATCAGCAACAACCGGCAACCTGCTTTACATGATTTATTACACTGACACACATAGGCTATCAAATGCTGCGCGTGTGTAACTGTGTGTGTATGAACTTCCCACTGTAAGTCCATGCATCAGGCATGCTAGTGAGCGGCACAGTACATTTTTTTGGAGGATGACAGGCCGTGTGTCTGTGTGTTCACAGAGCACAAATTGGTGTTGAGTTGGCACCGGTCTAGACTGTCCCTGACTTTCACACACATGCTCCATATAGCACACATGGTACCTGTGCAGTGTATAGAGTGCACTATATAGACACACATGTTCTTCTGCAACACTACCTCCTACAAATTATATTTATTGAGTAACTAGTTTGCCTTGCCAAGTGTATTTTGGAACAGAAATTTCTCATACAGCATAGAAGTCACAAGGAGGAGGTCAATGATGATGACAGTATAAAACAGAAAACATTTGGTTAACATAGAGAATTATATGTGTCCATATTTGTCCTTTTTCCAAGCTGGTAATCTTTCCCTGACCTGAACCAAAAGCTTTGACTTAAACATAACCACAACCACCTTGGTCATGCTTCGGTTTGCCAGGAGTGTTTTTATTATTGGTATCAGCGGTGGGAAATAACTAAAGTGAGAACTAAAGTGCAGAACATGATGAATGTTATTTACTGAAGAACTTTTACTAAAGTACAATTCTGAAGTTTTTTTTCCATTTTTTGCTACTTTAATTTTCTTGGCCACTATTGGACTTTTTATTCCACTGCATGTATTTCACAGTTAAGTAAAGTCAGTTTAATTTAGCGCCAAATCATAACAGAAGTAACCTGAGGGCACTTTTCATACAGAGCAGGTCTAGATCCCTTTATAATAGTTACACTTGTACATAGTTACGAGTGTCTTTCAGAAGTCTATTTGTTGTAAACTGTTCCA